GTACCTGTGACCATTACTGAGCAGTGACCTCTGATCATTAACCCTGTCATTAGCATGTAGCCCGGAGACCTTGGAAACCAATTTCAAAAAGTGCCAGAAGTTCAGAGGCTCCGTCAATGTGCCTCCCGTGAGCACTCAATCAACCATGTGGGGCTTTGCCTGAGCCTTCCACGTTGTGATGGGCCGGGTGATTCAGATGGTTCAGAAAGACAGATCAATGCAATGGATAACCTTTAATCTGCAAGACATAAATATTTTTGAAAACAGACGAGAGATGTTTCAAATTTAATGATCCAAATTCCCGTGTGTTTTTTCTTTTTTTTAAAAAAAGCACACTTTCAAAGCAAGAGTAGTTTAATTGAAGAATGATGAAACTCCAAAATGCATCCGACTGTTTTAATAAACTTGCCGTGTCTCATGTCCGGCTCTGGATTATTTGTATGTTCCCCCGCAATAGTTCCAAAAATAATATTCCTTCAAACCAGTTAATTAAAGTAACAGTGTCATAGAGTCATTGCCCGGAATCTAGAACTACTGAAATACTAAAGTTACTGTACTCCTATAGCAAGCTGTATGTGGGGTTAGTAATGTCCTTTTTATTAACTTTACACCGAACATTTATCTAAGCCCACTCCTGAGGCCTGACATTTAGCGTCTGTAATGAGGCAGGGATATCATGAGCTCCAGAATATAAATGGTGCAGTTTATTTAATAGGATTGCACCTACAGCCAGGAGAATTCAAAGGAATTGTCTGAGAGAGCAGAGAAAGCTTGGCACTAAACGGGTGGCCCAAGGAAATAATTTTAACTGTGGCACCATGACAAAACACTCTGCTTTCTCCAGTCCTGAGAAAATTGCAATGTAATTTAAGTGGATTTTGAAAGAACGGTTTTATATATATATTAAAGAGACCAGAGCTGCAAAATAGCACATCATTCTCGTGTGCGTCTGTGTGTCTGTCCTATGTGTGAATTATTTGCTATGGAGATTAATGCGATGAGCTGCATACCAGTTTATCTTTAAAAAAATATATGTCCTCGCACTTTGTAGGATTTTACCGTAGAGTGTAACAATTGTTTATTTGTAGACTAACACAGAAACCAATTTGCATGCAGCAACATCTCAAACAGCCCTGAAGTGAATGTCGTTTTTATATATATATATATATATATAAACCATCCTTCCATCCATCCCCTCTAATAAACATATAAATATATATATATATCGGGGAAATTGAAAGAGATGTGGTTAAATGGAATATTTGCTCAGAAATCAGTTTATTGAACATTATATAACATAACATAACTTGTTGGAGCAGGAGTAGGCCATTCGGCCATTCGGCCCTTCGAGCCTGCCCCGCCCTTCAATCATGGCTGATCTTCTAATCTAACTCCAGCAAATAACCTGACCCTGCCTTACCCCCATATCCCTTAATCCCTTTTGCAATAAGAAATCTATCTATCTCAGTCTTGGAGAAATTACAGGACAGAAAGAGGACATTAGCCCATCAAGCCTGTGCTACGAGGGCTCCGAGACGCTACCCCGCTTGAAGGGAGCTATGTAAACGCAAGTTGTTGTTGTTGCTGCTGGTGCCAGCTTCTCGGCCAGAGATGATGACTGTAAAAAAAGTTCGACATTGGCATTCCACGCTTTTACAGGGGCAGCTCTTAAATACATTCTCAGTGTCAAATGCTCCTTCCATCATGAAGAGTTGTGAGGCTTTGTACAGAGTTCCAGCTCACCAAAGCTACTTAACACTGCAATCTGCAAATAATTTACTCTTGTGCTATAAACCCAGTCAGCGCCTTGCCCCGTGAAGGTGGAGTCTTTGTAGATCGGAAAAGCCCAAGCAAAATTACACTTTACATTGATCCATTAAAAGTCATCTTGGATTGCGACTGAATTGTTTTCTGTTTCAGGAAAGCCATTGATTCTTAATGTACAAACTTTAATGTTTATATATAATATATAATATAGTAAAAGTAATCAGTAGCACAAGCCTATGTATGTAAGACTGAACCAAAGCTTGAGGTGAGGTGATATGTTCTGTGCTTTTGTGCTTTCAGTGTGAATTTAAGAAAAACAAACACATCGACACTTCACGGGGAAAAGCTGCTGTAACATTGCTATTTTACAACCGCATCTACTGGGTGCTTTTCTGAAAGTATTTGTCTGAACAGAATCAACAACAACAAATTGCATTTATATTCCTCAGCCACCTTGACTTGCACGTACTGTTTTGTAAATTGCTCATGACTGTGAGCAGAAAGCTGCCAACTAATAGGACACTGGTGCATATCATTGCAGTTTATACAGCTCCTCACGTCAGGAGGTCCCTATAAAGTGGAGTGACAGTGAATTCTGTAGGCACGCCGTTTTATGACACACACACTGTGGACTGTGATTGTATTAATAACAGTATGATGTGGATCAGAACGACGGTTGCATTGTAACCTTCCATCCCCTCTAATAAACAGGAATTCTACATTCTAAATATTAACCCACGAACCTTCAGATAAACCTATTGATTTAACAGCAGTTTGGTTTAGATACACAGGGAGAAAAGCCAGAGATTGCTTATGTCTTTGCGGTCAGCGGTGACGGGTAATCTTAATTCTGAATCAATGGGCTGGAATCAGTCTCTAGAGTTTAACTGTGCAAAACGCCTATCTTAAGGCATGTAACTCCTTGATGCAGGAGATAATTTAAAGGAACATCTTTTACAGAGAGAACAGATCAGGTAATAAACTGTTATCGTCTGAACACAGGAGGTGAAGTTGTTCATTAATCTCCGCGCCAATGCTTGGGAAATGCTCCTGATTAATACACAACTTTAAACGCTACTGAAATAAAGTAAATCTTGACCCAGGTGGAATTTCTAACTGTCCTGGCTGTATTTCTATCTGTTAAGAAACATCGCATTTTCAACCACCATCCCTTCCCTTTGCCCAGTACTGAACCAGATGTATTAGAAAGTACTTAAGAGAGAGATTTGAAACACAACATTGTCTAGCAGAACAAGAAAATAATGTTGTGCTTGTCCAAGTGTATAAAATGTTACATGGGATTGGAGCGGTAAATCCAGGACATTACTTTAGGGTGCGTCACGATAGCACAACAAGGGGACACAGGTTGAGAGTTGCAAAGGGCAATTTCAGGACAGATACCAGTAAGCTTTTCTTTACTCAGAGGGTAATTAAAGACTGGGACAGGTTGCCAGGAAGGGTGTCTTTGAGACTCATTTAAAAAGCAGTTTGATGATGGAATGGGTGCCTTGTACAGAGCCATTCATGTAAGATTGTCTCAAAGTGGTTAACTTATTATGCGCTCTGTGTTCATGTTAGCTTGCTTGACCCAGCCTCCAGGTCACGGCGGTCAGGAGGAGGAAGTATAAATGAGCCTCATCAGGGCAATACATCATTACGTTTCAGGGCCTCAGTGCATTGCCCTCATGTCCCCAGGTACTGAACTATTAAACAAAATTCCTGCCCATTTCAACATTGTATCTGCTGTTGATGCCTCATTAGTTCAATATGAGCGTCGTATGTAATTCAAAGTAAGGAGCATTTCTGGTTTAGAGACCTTCTGTTTCAAACCTTGTACGAGCGATGAAACAAGCGCACACATGTTCTCAATAATTGAGCACCGTTGTGCAAAAGAGCTCACTTGGTCTGAACTTTTCGCCCCCTAATTACCGTTCAGAGCATTTCAGAAGCTGAAACCGAAGAACGAGAGGAAGTTGAGATATTCTCTTACAACTTTGTCTCAGCGGAAAGTTAATAGAGCAGGTAAATGGCGGGAACGCTCTATGGCTTTGACGTGTTTTTAACCTATGTCGGATCCATGAATAAGTGCGATTTTAGCTGTGAATTTTTTACCTTCAGAGACCTCCTCCTGACATGAAAGGCGCTATATAAATGTAAATTATATTGTAAACTGTATTGCATCTTGATCATTTTTGGCTGTGCTCCAGACTGCAGAAGTTGTTATTAATTCACAACCTCTGAACACCCGAGTACTTAGACATTGAGGTGCACAGAGCCTGTGATGCCAGTGGTTAGTTCTGAGACTGAGGAGTAACACTGGAAAGAGTGTCTTCCTCAGAAAGGGAAGAAAGAAACATTTTGCATCTGTGAACAGTGCCATTGGCAGAGGCTTGGGGAACATGCTGTCTGTCTACCTGTTGCTCAAGGAAATATCATAGGAGATGGATGGAGATTCTGAGGCAATACAACGACAACGACAACTTGCATTTATATAGTGCCCTCCATGCTGTGTAGAGTCCCACAGCACAATGCTTTCTAAAGGGAATAATCCGAGAGTTCTTGCTTTGCTGGAGTAACACGAGGAGAACAGACGCCCCGGAGAGCTGGAATCTGTGTTGATTTGGCAGCACCGTAAAACAGGGAACGCTGGCAAGTCCAACCTCCGCACAACGTGGCCAGAGACACAGAGGGTGTTGCAGATCCAACAAATATAAAGAGAGGAAGGCCACAAATCCAAGCCCTGCAAACGCGATGGAGGCTTAAATGGGTCAAAACCTGTGCAATAAGTGAGGCTGAGCTGATGGTCCTGGAGAGAGGATACTGGACAGTTTCAGCCGAGGTAACGCAAACAGAAATATTCTATCTCTTCAGCGCCGGGCAATGTTTCATTGGATGATCATTATAAGGCTGCACTTTATAAAATCGTGTTCACTTGATGTTTAACATTTGGCATGACAATCCAAATAGAGGTTTCCAATGTTCTTTTTTAACCAGAATTGTTCTCTGTCAGTACATTTTGGCTTTGAAAATATGTGCTAGCGTTTTGCTAACAGACCCTTGAAGTGTTGCCTATGCGGATTCCGTATGCGTGTGGTGCAAGGTTAGAGAGAGTATTTCTGTGGCACTGTTGTTTTATTTGGCTCTTTTTCTGTCCGATTGAGTCATTACATATGGAAACAATCAAGAGCTGGAAGAGACCCATCTGCTTATACAGAAACGAAATCCATCCTTCAAACAGCGTCTGGGCTTCTTGTCTGCTGAAGCTGCTAAGTTCAGTGCTTGGTTTAGCTGCCAGATGGTTGGTGTTTTAAATCTAACAGTAACAGTTTCTCAAATTTGTTTCTCCACAAGCGTTCAACTTTCTTTTTGATTGTTACAGGACAAGTGAAAAGTAACCCACTCTCGTAGAAACTGGTCGAATCTTTCTGTGTCTTCCCGAGCTGAAACTCTTTGCGAGAGGATTCCAACCATGCTCGATTGGGTCCCAGCACCAAGGCTGCTGCTGATTCTCTTCTTAACTCAAAGCGTTGGAGAGGCTCAAAGGATAACTCAAGATGCCTTACTTATGCAGTATATTGAGCGACGCATCAATATATTGGAGGTAAGATCGCACCGTGTAAAACCAGTCTCTCCTCACTATTCCACAAGTTGCTATCTATAGCAATGGGCTATTTGTTTTTTTTCCTTTTTAAGAGTTAACAGGAAACATAGCGATGTTTTAGTATATGAACCTTCACACAAAAAAAAAAGATGGGGGAGAAATTCCACCTGGGTTTGGATTTACTTTATTCGTGTAGTGACACACAGTGTCCAGAATTTGGCAAATTGTTGAATTCAGCCTCAACTTTGAAGTTTCTCGTAACTTTGAAGTTGCTTTTCAGGAAAAAAAAACGGGCTTCAAAATTAAGGTTGCATTGAAGAATTCGACAAATTCCGGTCGCTCTGAAATGTTAAATTAATCAAGTAAATCTAGATGCCGGTGGAATTTCTCTCCCCAAGATGAATTTAGTGAAGGTGTTTATTGCACTTAAGAGAGCACAGAAAAACCACAAAGCGGCTTTGAAACTGACAGCAAATGGAAGAAAGAAGATGAAGCTATTTTTTATGATTTGTTTCCAGCTTTTCAAATGACCTCAGTTATCGGGCAAACTCAATAACATTTTGTGGTGGATGAGCTGCGTGTTTCAATGTGTACATTTAAAACACGTTCCCTTTAAGATACTGTCTGTCTGGAAGGCAGCCTTGCCTTTACTTCTCTCTCAGTGTTATGGGTGAAGTGCCTAGCAGGACTTTTCTCCTCACTTCCTCCGAGGTTTATGGCAAAAGTTAATGGAACACTAATTAGACGTCAAAAAAATTTCCCCTGACATAGACCAACAGTTCAGCTGTTTCAATAAAATGGTGCAAAAAAGCTGAGCTATTCCTGCAATAATTTGGTCACTTCAATCCACGACTGTTTGTAGGGACATTGCTGTTTGCAATTGGCTGCCGCAATTCGCCCGCAAAATACACAATCAATTCACTTTACATTGTATTCTGTGAAGCGCTTTGAGACGTCTTACAGACGTGATAAGGGGCTGTATCAAATGCAAGGATTATTATTATTATTTCACTTTAACAACAGGACCGACTGGCAAAGTGTAACCAAGACATGGTGAAGTACGTGAGAGAATTCAGGGATTTCAAGAAAGAAATCACAGTTCGGGTGGATAACATGAACAATTACAAAACTGAGTTTAAGAACGATGTGGAGAATCTGGGATCCAGAATCGAGCGGGTGGAGAGAGACATCGATTACCTAGAGACACAGCAGCCCTCCCAGCCGTGCGTAGAGATGGACGAGAAGCTGGTGGAGGAGCAGTTCAAACAAGCCGAAGAGAAGAAGAAAGCAAAGCTCAAGATGATTTCAGGTGCAATCTCTGTCTTGTGAAATGTTCTATTGTATTGTATCCCACACTATGGTCTGATTCAATCCTTGTTTCCAATTTCAACCCCACCCCTTCCCATAGCCGCTGGGTTTCAGAATGTTAATAACATTGATGTCCCCATCACTAAGTTTCCATCTGAAGAGAAAGCACAGTATTTTGCTGAAACAATACACAGCCTGTGCACATTGCCAGATTTTTGTTTTCCTGTATTTACCAGCCAGTCTGATCCAAGGTAATGACACGTGAAGCGCTGAACAACCAACTGATGGCAAATACTCAGTTGACTTTTGCCACAAACCTTTATTAATTTCCTACTGATGCATCTTTGGCAGTCGTAATGTAAATTTTACAATAATAGTCTGGGGTTCAGTACAAATGTTTTGCAGATGTAGGATAACTAGAAACAGACACTGGAAACACTCCATTTACACTATAATAGCAGGGTTAAGAATACACTTGCCATTGTAACTCTTTGTTAGAAGACAAGGGAATAAGGACCTCAAAGAGCTCTTTGGGGCATTGCTGGAATTTTACCAGATACAATCAGGAGGTTCAAGCCTCCAGCAAGCTTCCCGCTGCTTGCCTAGTTAGGACTACCCTATCCATTAGGGTGTTGGGTTCCAGTGTTATCAGAAGCCAAGTGGAGAGAATACCAATCTTCATCCACTCCCTATGTGACGTGTCACCCACCTCCAACTCCCAGTGATGAGCCAGCTAGGCTGCTGGTTCATCCAAAATACTCTGGAGTTTTGCCTGTCGCTGTGCCTGTCCAAGGCCATCACACAGAGATGAGGTGCACTCTTCCTTCACCTCAGTGGATTGCAATGAACGGCCAGTCACATCGTTGGGTGCACTTTGCTGGTAAATGCAGCTTCATAGCTCGCAAGACGCAAGAGCAGCTGTGAATGTCTTTGGGTGCAATTCAGGCCAGCAGGCAGCTCGCATCGATACAACATTGATACCCTGACCAGAAATAATAATAATAATAATAATAATAATAATCCTTGCATTTGATATAGCGCTTTTCACGTCGGGAGGACGTCCCAAAGCGCTTCACAGAACACACTGTAAAGTGAATTGACTGTATATTTGTGGGCGAACGCGGCAGCCAATTGCGCACAGCAATGTCCCACAAACAGTCGTAGATTGAAAATGACCAATTTATTATTGTTTTTGGTTTTGGAGGGATTATTATTAGGCTCTGTGTGGAGTAAGGAAACTTGCCCAAGGTTTCGCCCTCTGCCTGGAATTGAACTCAGGTCTCTCACTTGCAAAGCGAGTGCTCTAACCACTGCTCTAAATGCATAGAAAGTTCAGTGGTGTTATACCAACAGGATTCAAGGCACTTATCAAAGGCTGGAACAGTGTCTTGACAAGAGAGAGAGAAGGGGACTGAGCACGCAGTGAGTTTTATAGTGAAGGCCCTGGCAAACTCCTGCCTCATTATAATGCGTGCTGCATTGCAGTACCACTTCAATGGTTGCTCACATCTGGCTTTAATTGCAACTTGTGGAATTAAGCTGAACATTTCTCTAATGCGGTATAAAATAAAATACAAATTTCATTTTGTAAACATGCCATTACTGCTGGGTAAACAAGCTGCTATAACACTGGTTTAATAGCATTGATATATTAACAGCTATAAAAGAGGTGCATTTTAATACATTCAGTGGTAAACTCCATATCTGGGCTCCGTTCCGAAATGCATTTCTTCCTTTATCCAAAGGCTTTTGTATTATACTATTCCCTGGTGGAGAAAGCAGTGGCATTAGCGCACTCTTAATCCATTCCCTCAATTGTTCTCAAGACAGGTCTCAGACAGGTTGATTGACCCTTGTATTTTGCCTCCATACAAGTGAGAACAAAATGGCATTAACGCTTAAATACCTGATGGATTAAACTTGCCTCAAGCAGCCAGGGGAAGCTTTTAGTGTGTGACGCAGTTGCACTGCACCCTGCCACACAGCCAACAAATCTGCCAAAAGCCATCAACAACAGGTACCCACATCAGTGAATTCATGGCTAAGTTTACACCAGAGCTAACAGTGTAACACTGGAACATTTGTTCTTTTTCAAGCCTCCAGCCATGAATGTTTTTTTTTTGTCCAAAATAAAATGCCCTGTGCCACAGCAAACAGAACAGAACATTCTCTACCCCCTCCTCGCTCCCTCCCTTCCCTCCCCTCACCCTGACAATGTCCCCCCAATGCTCGGGTCCCGACCCAACTGTCCAGCGCCTTGGGACGTCCTCCCGACGTGAAAGGCGCTCTATAAATGCAATCTTGTTGTTGTTGTTGTTGAGTGGGGGGGTGGAGGGGAAGGGGGGAGGGGGGGAAATTGCTACATTGCACAACTCGATCCTCGAGATAATTGTGAAACGAGACACATTTCACCTTTTCTGTGCAATTCCCCTATTGATGAGGGTCAACGTATTTTTAGGATCGAACGTGCCAAAATGGTGATAATAGATGCCGCAAATCCCAACCCATTATTAAACCCTGTTGATTTTGAGAATTGCTGTGACGTTGCAGGCTGTTCTCATTTGATTCCCTCTTGTCGTCCTCTCTGACCTTTGCTGCAGATTGTGATATCATGCTGACCGGCATCAAGTCGCTGAAAATCGTCAAGAAAGCTGGCGACGATCAAGGCTCTTGGATCAAGGACCCGGTGAAAGACTCCCAGAGGATTTACTTCTTGAGCGGAACAGACAACAACGTTCTTTCCGAGTTCGCCAACATCAGGGCGTTTACAGACAGCGCTTACTTGCGGTCGGCACAGAACACGGTGTTGCCTTACGGCTGGCGGGGAACAGGACACACCGTGTACAACGGCTTCCTGTACTTCCACAAGAACGACACCGGGAACGAGATCATCAAGTACAACCTCCGCAACAAGACAGTCAGTGACCGCATGCTCCTGCAGGGGGCCGGGCGGGTTCCGGCTTACCAGCTCTCGCCCTACACCCTGATAGACCTGGCCGCCGACGAGCAGGGTCTGTGGGCCATCCACGGCGACGAGGACAACGGTGGCATCATCGTGGTGACCAAGATCGACCACAGCAGCCTGGCGGTGGAGCACTCCTGGGACACCGCATGCAGTAACCAAGGAGCGGAGGCCGCCTTCATGATCTGCGGGACCCTGTACGTGGTCTACAACCACGAGCACGGCGGCCGGTCGCGCATCCAGTGTATCTACGACGTCACTGACGTGGTCACCACCGACGACCTGCCCGTCCTCTACTTTCCCAAGCGCTACGGCAAACACTCCATGATCCACTACAACCACCGGGAACACCAGCTCTACTCCTGGGACGACGGTTACCAGACAATATACAAACTCATCACCAAAAAGAAGCTTGAGCATTAAACGTCTCCCCTTCCTCTCCCCCCTCTTCCCCCCCACTCTCCCCCCCCCCCCCCCCCACACTCTCTCTCTCTCTTTCTCTCATTTCACCTCTTTGCCAAAATAGCTACTCTCTTAAATTGCTCACATGCAGTTTCCAAGTTTCATACAGGACAAGTTACATTTATGTAGCGCCCCCTCCCACACACACACCACACCCACACACCCCACTCACACACCCCCCCCACACACCCCCCAAACACACACCCCACTCACACCCCCCCACCCACACCCCCCCCCACACACAACCCACCCACACCCCCACACACACCCCACTCACCCAACCCCCACACCTCCCACCCACACACACAGGTGAGGTTGGGAAGCATGTGAGTCTCGTACCATGTTACCAGCTCAATATGTATCCACACAACGCATCAGTGTTGTGCGTGGCAGGAATTCTGCCAAGACACAGATATTAAAAAGAAGTTTTTATTTTTAAAAAGTCTAAAAAAGAACATTTTTTTTCTAATTCGTTACCTTCTCTTGGCCCCAGGCAGACTGGATAGCGAGTTGGCTAATACCAGATTGTTTTTTGTCTCGACGCGGAAGGCAAGTTTGGTTTTGGGTTCATGTTTCGTGGGCGCAGGTCGTCCTTGGCCACCAAACACCCATTCTTCCCCCCCTCAGATCCCATGATGTGTTTAGTCACCACCGTCACCCCTGAGCCTGCCCTCAACCAATCATTCTCGCAAGGCCCACCTTCCAGCAATGGCTCCCCAGCCAGTGATCCGTTGATTGAACTCAGGGTCATTTGGTTTTCTTTTGGTTTGCAAACCTTTGCAAAGGTTAGTCAGCATTATGAGTTGGTAGAAAAGAAATTAAATTCAAATGACAAAATAATGGGCACAATTATAATAATAATCCTTGCATCAGTGCCTAATCATGTCGGGAAGACATCTCACTCTGCTGCAAAATATACTGGAAAGTCGTTTGACTGTGTGTTTTGTAGGCGAATGCGACAACTAGCGAGACTTTGTGCATGCAGGTTACGCTCACTCACTATAAAATGCTTTTTAATTAAAAAAAAGTAGAGCCAAAAGGCTTGGACTATAATAGTGGGATGTCTGAAGTGTTGATCGAATTTCTTACGGTTTGAATTCAGGAGTACGGTGGATGGTTTTAGTCTTTTTCCCGGTCAGTGTACGCCAAAAAGCAGTAGAAACATCTAATGTAACCTGATAGCTTCTTATCACGTCGAAATATCTCAAAGTCCTTGGCAGTTCATATCTATCAGGCAAAGTTATTGCCTTTTGTAGACAAACATGGAGCCCATTTGTGCCAGTGAGAATTGGCTGTTAACAATCTTGAGTCAACAGCAACTTTCCTTTTTTAATAGCGTCCTTCACATAGACTGACATCCCAGAGTTTCAGACAGGGCTGTGATCAGATGCTGAACAAGGGAGTGAGGAATGGGGAGATGTTAGGGAAAAGTTAGTTGTCTTGTTGATGGCTTGTACATGTTGGTGCTTTTATATATAAACCTTTCCAGAAGTCAACTCCCCCTTATATATTATACACTTGATACGCAGTTGATAAAGAGAAGCACTTAGTGAATGGTGGTAACTGTATTTGATTTGGTAAAACTTGGTAAAGTGTTGCTAAGTGGACTTCGGAACCCTTTGCACTGTATAAAGTTATTTTCTACACACTCTGGGCCTTTTATGGTGTCCACCTGATGCACAAGACCAACCCCCTCACCCCCCAACCCCACTCCAGCCACGACTGACTGAAATGTACGATGTCTACAGTATCTTGTGAATCTAATTAATTTCAGTCATCTTCGTAAGAGGCTTATTATATTGTTGTGTTGCTTTATCAATGGGAATGTCATTGATATATCTCAGTAGCTGTTGACCATGCTTGACAGGTCCATGTGTGTCCAGGCATCAAAGTAGTTCAACCATAATGTAGTCCATTGACATTAAACAGTAGCTACACAATAATAAACGTCTGTGATTCACATTTGCTTATTTTCTGCTGTGAAAGTTACGGCAAAAATGGTGAATTTGGGTAACACTAACTTCACACCGGACTTGTCTTTTATCATGTTATGTCCTGTCACAAACCTTTATACATATGTCTACTTCACCATGAAACCCAACAGAGAACAAAGATCCTCTCAGTAGTAATAGGGCCCTTATTTACAGCAAACACACTTACACATATATAGCGCTGTCTTTCGGATGAGACATTAAAACAAAGCCCTTTCTGCTTCTTCAGATGGGTGTTAAAGATCCCATGGCATTATTCGAAAGAGAATGGAGTTTATCCCAATGTCCTAGCCAGGAATTCCAGGAATTCTCAACCCTCTCCCACCCACACCCCTGATAAAAAAATATTTGTCATTCACTTTCTGACTGTTTGTGGAACTTTGCTTTGCACAAATTAGCTGTCACTATCCACCAGCAAATATAGAGTCAATACGCATTACAGAAAGCTCTGTAAAGCGCTTTAAGACATTTTGGCGTGTAAGGCACTATATCAAACTGAGGCACAAATTAATATTATTATTGATTTAAGTGATCTGACTTCCTGGGTAACACCTCTCTTCAATTGCTAACCTTGCAACTAATCCCGAAACACCTTCTTTATGTCTTCCAGGAGTTTTTTTTGTTTAATTGGGATTCTAACAGTATACGTAGCACAGGTCCCTAAATGTGGATCTCATCAGTTCCTCTACAGGTGGAGAAGGAATTTATTGTCAATTAAATTTTGGAAAACTATCCAACATGTTCATTTGTGGAACTTTCCACTGCTCCTGCGAGTACATCTGCAACAGGAATGGAAAATTGGAAGATTAGAAAAGCCTATAAAATTTAATTAGTCATTAAAATGTTATTATGTGTTCCTTCAGGGCACCTTGGTGAATTCCTTTGGCGTGTGTTTTTGCCACATTCTAGCCCATTTGCCTCATAACAGCTCCATCCAGTCTGCCTGTTTAGGTGGATGTTAAAGAGCTCTGGCTGGCTGTGTTTTATTTTGTTTTGTTTTCCCCTCCATAAACCGTACAGGCCAATTACACTGTATTATCGGAGCCTCCAAGAGGAGCGCATTATATCAAGGAGGTGTCTCTGCCTCATAGCTCTAATCTATTTGAGTTTTGCTGTGAGATGTTTGGAACATCTATCAGCGCTACAAGTTCCACTAACAGAGACAGCTTTAAATCTACAAGGAAGTCGTTATTTTACAGGTCTCTGTTATTATCTTTCTTGTCTGGTTGGCAACGCCTGCGCAGAGCAAAGGAAATGACAATATTCTGCGAAACCAACATGCAAAAAGAAGCAAAACTTTCAGAGAGTAATTTACGCAGCTACACTTCCCTGGAGCTGGAGCTCAAAATAACTGGTGGACGTGGAACTGGTGGCAAAACCCTACCGTACGTCAGAGGAGGGGGAGAGGAGAGGAGGGACGTTAGTGCAAATTCTCATCTCGTTTTGCATCCATGTCATTTCATGACAGATACATTCCTGCCACTGAATATTAATCAGTAACTGAATCGCTGAGGCTCTGTGAACTGACAGGCTGTCACTGAGAGATGGGGAAATCCTTGTAAAGCGCCTCTATCAGTCCCAGGATAGTCAGCCACGTTTGTCTTAACCTGCAGCGAGATTTATTGCTGACCATTTTTGCAATGAGAACAGAATAACTTGCAAACCGCGCCTCGTGACCTTTTTGCCCAAAGTCCACCCCACTTACCACGTGGAGTCCTGTAGCTCAGTGGTTAGAGCACTCGCTTTGTAAGCGAGAGAACTGAGTTCAATTCCAGGCAGAGGGCGAAACCTTGGGCAAGTTTCCTTACTCCACACCGAGCCTAATAATAATCCCTCCAAAACCAAAAACAATAATTAAAAAATTGGTCATTTTCAATGTACGACGGTTTGTGGGACATTGCTGTGCGCAATTGGCTGCTGTGTTTCGCCCACAAATATACAGTCAATTCACTTTACAGTCTATTCTGTGAAGCGCTTTGAGACATCGAGAAGACGTGAAAAGCGCTATATCAAATGCAAGGATTATTATTATTATCCTTTGCTGAAATGCACAGAAAGCTGTTTCTCAGCTAATACCCGATCAGTGAGGGATCACAATCATCAGTTGGTTTGCTGGATGATTTACAATTTTATGAATACAAATTTCACAGCAAAAATTTTGCTGCTTGTTACATTTAGACCAATTCATCTCTTCCTTCCTATTAAACTGTGAGCGCAGCAAACATTGCAGCAATTTGTCTTGTGAAGATGTCCCTCTGTACGTATAAATACATGGGCAATTCTTATTCTGTAAGATTGGGTAGAGTTTACTGTACGTGTTTCAGATTGTATCTCCAGGGGTCCTGGCCAACATTCCCCCAAATAAAATTGGTTGTTCACTTCAAGTCTGGTTGTGGGACATTGCTGTTCGCAAATTGGTTGCCGCATAGTCAATGCACTTTAATCCTGCAAAGCACTTTGAGACATCCTCTTGACTTGAAAGGGGCTATTATTATTATTTACCTTATTATTCATCCAAAACGGCCTCCAGTGAAGTGAATGTTCAGTTGGGATAATTCCTGTCTGAGATTTTCCCTTTGAATGTTAAAGCTGTTTGAAGATCACTGGCCCCTATTCTGGCTCCTCGTCCTAACCTCACAGTCAAATCCAATCCTTAGATTGCGAACAACGCCCCCGTGAGGAAATATTGTAACATCACAAGTTCCACGACAAGTTCTGTCTCAAACGACCATTCTATCAAACCTCAAAAGAAAGTTTTAAACCTTAAAATCCAAGGACTTAACCGGCATCAACATCTTAATTCTTATTGTCAAATATCCTTCCAAAATTCATTGCCGGCTCTCACACACAAAATGGTACATCGTAAAATCTGAAACTCTATATAATCACTAAACTGAGAGTGATTGCAAGGATTTTAACCGAACACAAGTGACAGTTGTTGACACAAACATCAATTAAAGCCTTGAATCCAATCAGAATTGGCTGAACACACCCACTG